GACAAGAGGGCATAGTCTGAAACTGTGCAGGGAGACGTTCAGGCTAGAAATGAGGAGGCATTTCTTCACAGAAAGGGTTGTTAGGCATTGGAACAGCGTGCTGAGGGAGGTGGTGGAGTCACCATCCCTGGAGGTGTTTGAGAAAAAACTGGATGTGGCACTTAGTTCCATGGTCTAGTTGACATGGTGGTGTCAGGGCAACGGTTGGGCTCCATGATCCCAGAAGTCTCTTCCAACCAAATCGATTCTGTGATTCTGTATTTACAAATTGCATTGGTGGGTGTTTTAATACTTCTTTGCACATTACTTTAAAATGTGTTAAAAAAATCTTATTCATGATGTAGGTGATTGGATGGAATTTATTAAAATGCTGTTTTTTTCAACCTATTAGTAACTTAAATTAAAATATATATTAGTTCTAATGCAGAATATTAGTTATTTGTTCAAAAAAAGTTATTTACAAAGATAGAGTTCAGTGAAATTCAATGATGCAAAAGCTTGTCTCTGAAATAACTAGTATTAATTGCTGGTATTAATGATTTTCTCTATCTTTTTTTAATTTCTTTTAATTTTTATTTTACCGCAGATCACAGTTCTCATCCAACAGGACACATGGCTCTTTTAAAGAAAAGTAAGAGAGATTAAAAACATTTGAAATTATATTTTTAAGAGGACAGAAATGTCAGATACAATTTCTCATGCATTTAACTCACGAAGTCCTGAGATGATAAACAGACAACAAACTAGCCAAGAAGAGGAAGTTCTAGGCTCTTGGTAAAATTCAGAAACGTGTGAATTTCCTAGTATGGATAGCCCATATATATTGGGACCTTAATGATTTAGTGAGTAAATTATCCATGAAAATCAGATAGTTGGAAATTATTGTAATGGGGGACAGATACTATTACTTTTTTAACATAAGATTTTTAGCTTGCTTAAATAATAAGAGAAAGGAGAATTTGATAAACACAGCAAATACAGGTTATGATATGTACTGGTTGCAAATTGGATTTTTTAAAAAAAAGATACTTGGGAATTAGCTATTATACTGATTGTTCACAAATTCTCCCTTTTGTTTCAGTTAACCAGATTTTACTGTTACTTCTTGTCTTAACTGTGTGTGCCATTCTGTATAACAAAGTTCACCAAGTGCCATCTGCATTAAAGAATGAAACAGGTAAATGACTTGTATTTCTGTTTCATTTATGTTCTTGTTTTATGTTCCTTATATCTTCATTTGAACAGTGCTTTTTGTCTTACTGAATCCTGTTTGCCCTGCAGTAGATGAGCTACTCACACTGTTCGATATGGTCTGGGATGCAGAATTGTTTGCTTTTGAATTACTTGAATAAAATAGTAGGGATCGGTAGTAATGACTAAAAATTGTCATTTTGATTCAAACTTTTATCCAGATGTCACTGATGTGATGGAAACTGGACTATATCCTTATTTGTACTGAACAATATTGGAGTTCTCGAGTGGTAAAAAACTTTGATCATAGCTTGCCCATTTGGGAATATTCTTGGCCTACCTATTCGTTTCAGATAGATCATCAAATCTTGACATAATTTACAGCAGAAGTTTTTGCTAGAATTTTTGTAGTGACAGAGGCCCACTTGGGTTGATATGGTTGGACTGGTATTAAATGTTTATACTGATAGCTTATTCGCTGTTCCCAAGATAAACAAACTCTGTCTTGGTATAAACCATTTTTTTCAGTATATTTTTGTGGAGGCTGTTATGAGCTTAATGATTATGTTTTAACCAGTATAAATATATCCATATAAGTTCTGTAAGTTAGTCGGTGCCGGGGATAAAAATCTTCCTTAGCAGTAACATGAACTGATTCAGTATTGGTTTGATTTTTTTTCCTTTTATCATCAGCAACTTCCTGCTGGTACAAATTTTTGCACTGTTCCTTTCTAGCCTGCTTCCCAAAGAAGTGAAGCTCATGCAATTGCACCATGTCTTCGACTTGCCTCTTTCCTTTGGTAATTTTTAAACCTGTTGTTCAATTTGTACTAAATATAACTGAGAAGTGGAAGTCTCAAAGGTATTCAAACTTCTTCAGGTTTCATATGAATAAGCAGCTACATGGAGGACAGGCTGAATTGTGCCCCTACTGAGTAGAAGATGCCAAGAACTCTGTTAGATATTCTATTTGGAGGCATCCAGCTGTCCAGTCAACCTGCATGTAGTTCTGAATTAGCGACAGCTCATGCTATGTGCCTTGCCAGATGCAGATGTGTATAGGATGTGGTAAGGAAACGGGGTGATTGTGATACGATTCCACTGCTTATGGAACTACATACTCATTCCTGAGACCCAGATCTGATATAAAGAGATTATTATTTTTCTATTATAATGCATAGGTTTTTTTTTGTTATAGTTGATTTGGAGAGTCCTGAGGAAATGGAAGAAGAAATCCCAGTTGTAATCTGTGCTGCTGCGGGCAGAATGGGTGGAGCTATAGCAGCAATCAGTAGCATCTACAGCAACACAGAGGCCAATGTTTTGTTCTACATAGTTGGACTGAAGACTACCATCCCGCATATTCGGTATGTACCAGCCTTGTTTTGTTTCATGCTATAGTTAGGACCAAGTTTTTCTTCTTAGCACAGGCGTAGACTTTGGAGGACTTTTCAGGGAAATGTTTCTCCCTTGTATTTAAGTAATGCTATTAGTAGCAATCCCCAGGATTCTCTACATGTAGGAAAAAGGACTGTTTTGCCCTACGCAAGGCACTCTCTGGTGTAAAGGGATGTGAAATAGCCAGACTGTGCCCATACTTGGGCGCCTCTGCCTTTTGTAGATCGGCTGCAGAAGAGTCTGTAGTGAGGTTAAGTATATACATGCTTACTTGTCACAATCCCACTTTGTGGCACTGCGCTTGCTTCCCATCTGCCACTGTGTCTTAAGCTTCAGAGTAGAAAAATTTGCTGTTTAAAACTAATTTCAGCTAAGAGGGTGTATTAAAGGTTATAAATAGAGGCCCAAAAAAGCTTGTAATGAAAGCACGTTTGGGTGTTAAAATTTGCAGACATTGTTTAAAAGAGGAGGAAGGTGTGAATCAAAATTAAAGCGTATTTCTTAGCAGTTCTCACCTCTGGCTACTGCACTTCTGTAGCCTGTGTACCCACAATTTGTGTCAAAGTGAAAAGATGTAATGAGTGGCATTCCACAGGGAGTTTTTCTCATCCAGTTCATCAGTAGCGTAGATAATAGAGTGGAGAATGTGCTTTATGAATCTGCAGTTGGCCTGAAGCTGGGAAAGAGACAGCAGATATATTGAGGACAAGAACTGAAAACAAACTAATCATGATGAATTGGAAAAACAAACTGTAAAATGTGAAATTCAGTAGAGGTAATGACAAGGTAATATAGGGGAGAATAGCTGATTGTATTGGCTCAGGGTGAAGCAGGAGTTCGGTAGCACTCATTTGGAAAACTGCAGAATTATGACTGATGACAGACCACACTGCTTCAAAAAAAAAAAAAAAAAGGCACCCATCATAGTGGATATACATGTTGACATATATGACCACGGGAGATGTGAGGAAACCTTTTCTGATCTTGCAGACACTATTAACACATCAGAAAAAGTGTGGTGTTTAGTTTTTGGTGCCTTCAGGAAGGATTTAGGTCAGAGGAGAAAATAGGCAATGGTATCAAGAAATCTGACAAAATAATGAAAAAAAATTAGTTTAATCTGAAGAAAATATAGTTAGGAGGTGATGTGGCAGTCATCTTGAAGGATGTAAAACTGTAAAAGGGAGAAAACTAACCTCTGCTTTAAAAGCACAGTAGATAGGATAAGAAAAAATAGTCTTTAACTGTAACAAGAGAGCCCAGAAAAATAGCATTTAATGCTAGCGATGGTGAAACGTGGGTTGTTTGGGCAACGTGGAATCTCTGTTTTTGGCAGTGGTGTGGGCTGTTTCTTTTGTTGGTTTTTTTTGTGTTGTTTTTTTTAAGAACAGGTTAAACAAATGTCTGTGTGCAGTAGCTGTAGACATAAGTGATTCTGTCTTGGGATAGAATAGATTGAGTGATCTTTCAAGGTCTTTTATTCTCCTATGAGTCTGTGAATTTAATACTGGAAGTACTTGCCACACACTCAATATTTCTTTTATCACTTCTTTTTTGTCATAGACAATGGATTGAAAATTCTAAACTGAAAGAAATAAAATTTAAGGTTGTGGAATTCAACCCTATGGTACTAAAAGGAAAAATCAGACAAGATGCGTCACGTCCTGAGCTGCTGCAGCCGGTGAGTAAATGAACATCGCAGAATAAAATTTCAGGTTTTTTTAGCACTTATTACAGGCTTTAAAATGTCCTAGATCTCTGTTCCATTACACAGGGGGGTGTGTAAGCCAGAGAAGCCACGTCAGGTCTATAAATGCTACGCCCTCACTGAAGAAGGAAGAGTGTGCTATAACAAGCTCCTTGTAACTTGTCTGTCTTGCTGGGACTTCATTATTTGGGGGCATAAACTTGATAATTTGAATGTGTTGTATCTTTAAGAATATATTCACAGTTTATTAGTGGGAAGATCTAATAGTGTTCTTTGTGCCTCCCTGATGCTGAGTTGGCTGCATTCTGCTCATGTCCAGGCTTAATTCAGAGGCTAATCTAAATATTATTGGCTGTCAGAACAGGCAAATCAGATGTTAGAAATTATTGGGATAGGAGTAAGGATCCAAATAGAGAACATCATTATGCCACAATACAAATCCATAGTTTTCCCTCATCCTAAATGCTATGTGCAATCATTGTCCCCTTATCGGGAAAAGATGTAGCACCACCAGAAAATGTTCAGGTCTGTTCAGGATGTTTATTCTTGCTGCCCTTCTCTGAGCCTTTGAAATCTGTAATATATAGAAAAGATTTCATGCAAGGAATCAGTGAGTTAAAACTGTTCAGCCCAAATCCATCCTCATCCTAAATCATCCTCATCCAAATCCATCCATTCCCTCATCCTAAATGCTATGTGCAATCTTTGTCCCCTTATCGGGAAAAGATGTAGCACCACCAGAAAATGTTCAGGTCTGTTCAGGATGTTTATTCTTGCTGCCCTTCTCTGAGCCTTTGAAATCTGTAATATATAGAAAAGATTTCATGCAAGGAATCAGTGAGTTAAAACTGTTCAGCCTGGAAATGGGACTTCTACTGTGAAAACAGTAGAGCTCTTCAGAACTGAGTGGCATGGAGGACTGAATGGGGGATGGTTGCTCACTGTCCCTTCCAATACAAGAATTAATGGCCATTAGATTAAATTAGTAGGAGTCACAGTCAGAACAAACAAGAAATGTTGCACGTTTTTCATGCAATGAGTACTAAACCTCTAAATTTCCTTGCTGAAAGGTCTTGTGAATGTAAGAATTTACAAGGATTCAGTGAGGACTGAAGTTTATATTTAGACAGATCACATCTGGTTCAGGAAATCCCTTGAGCTGAAAATAGCTGAAAGCTAGGAGAATACCTGGAGCAACTTTTCTGTATGCTTGCTCTGTTCTTATTTTTCATGGAGCATCTGCTTAGGACCACTCTGAAGGCAGGTGCTGGGTAAAATGGTCTGAATGAGTATGGTGATTCTTATGTTCTCAGTCCCCTTTCCCTCTGCTGTGTTCTTCGTTGCTATCGTAGAAGTTGTTATCCCACGTCTGTGCCACCGATCAAATCATTCCTATAGAGTGGCATGATGACACTATTAAATTTGCAGTGTTTTGTATGATGTGTGCTGTAAAGATGCATTAGGAAGAGCATTGCCTGCAGATCCAGGAAGGTGATCCTTCCTCTTTACTCAGCACTGGTGAGGCTGCATCTGGAGTAGTGTCCAATTCTGAGCTCCCCAGCACAAGAAAGATATGGACTTACTGGAGTGAGTCCAACATACGGCTGCAAAGATGATTAAGGGACTGGAGCATCTTCTGTATGAGGCTGAGAGAGCTGAGGCTGTTCAGCCTGGTGAAGAGAAGGCTCAGGAGGATCTTACCAATGTGCATAAATACATGAGGGGAGGGACAAGAGGCAATGGGCACAAATTAAAATACATGACATTTCCTCTAGACACAAGAAAAACATTCTTTTTTTTTTTTTTTATGGTGAGGGTTGTCAAACACTGGAGCAGGTTGCCCAGAGTTGAGTCTCCATTTGTGGACATCTTCAAAACCCAACTGGGCATGGTCCCCGGCAGCCTGCTCAGGTCAGCCCTACTTGAGAAGAGCGACTGGACAAGATGAGCTCAAAAGGCCTCTTCCAACCTAAAGTGATTCTGTGAAGAAGCGACTGTTTTGGTCTGCTTGGTTAGGACCATAGTAAATAAAATGGGGATAAATAATAAAATGGATTCAAGATACTAGTAAAGATACTGGTAAAGCTGTGGGGGAAGAAGCAAATGATCACTGGCTAGTGCACAGTGAAGAGAGAAATTAAAATGAATTGTTTATTAATAGAGACAGAAGCTTGAGACTACTACGTTAAACATCTTTACCGTTTAGTCTTTATCTTTTTTCTGTTTAATAGCTGAACTTCGTTCGATTTTATCTTCCTTTGCTTATCCAGAAGCATGAGAAAGTAATATATTTGGATGATGATATCATTGTTCAAGGTAAGCTGCCATCCAAAAAGCCATTTCTAAAAGAATTAAAATCAAAATTACTGCAGCTTTTACAGTCATTTGGAAATATGAGATATAATGGAAACTGAGGCAGCCGATAGGAGTGTTGCACTCAGGAGAAATACAAATAATCTGTTTGTTTATTTAAAGGAAAGTCTGAAGAAGAACTTCATATATCTTTGGAATAGTTGATTTTGATCAAAATTTATGTATGTGTTTCATTTTAATTGAATCTAGTCAATTGCTGAAAGGTATCATGGATTTCACTTAGGTGCTGCAGTATTTATTGGTAAGTATGTGACATGCATTTCCTGCTAGTATTTGAATTCCCACAAATGCTACCAGTTCCTCATCCAGAATTGCTGTTCTTGACAGGAACAGGAATTTACTCAAATAAGAAGGTTAAAATTCCAAACACTCAAAAGATGATTTTAAGCATCTTCAGCTCAGGATCCATAGCAATTTCCAGAATTGTGAGCAAAGATTTCAGAGTTCCTAGACAAATGGGAGCAGTTAGAAGACATTCAAATCCTGAAATATTTTTTTTTTCATACAAAGAAATCTTAAGTAGAGGAACAGTTATTTTTTTTAAAAGATTAATTGATTTTTTTCTTCCTCTTCTGTTTCCCAGTATACTTTTTTTTCCTCTGTAGAGTTGTTGTCCTCCTTTGGTTTATCATATTGTTTTCTTGTTATTTTATGACATTTTTAAATCAGAGTGTTGTGGTTTAACCCTGGTGGGCAGCTAAGCACCACACAGACGCTCACTCACTTCCCTCGCATCCCCACCCCGAGTGGGATGGGGTAAGAGGAAATGAAGAATAAAAGCAAGAAAACTTGAGGATCAAGATAAAACAAACCAACAAATAATTGTTTAATAAGTGAAGGATAAGTAGAAGAAGAGAGGAAAAAAACAAAACAAGAGATGTGAAGGCAATCACTCACCACTTCTGGTGGGTAGAGGGATGCCCACCGAGCAAAAGCTGGCTAACCCCCCCCAGACCCCCTCCTGCCCCTTTTATTGCTGAGCATGACATGACATGGTATGGAATATCTCTTTGGTCAGTTGGGGTCATCTGCCTGGTTGTGTCCCCTCCCAGCCTATTGTGCACCCCCTGATCTATTCAGTGAGGGAGCAGAGTGAGAAACAGGCGGTTTCTTGGTGCTGTGCAAACACTGTTCAGCAAAAGCTAGAACATTAGTGTGGTATCAGTACCGTTTTGGTCAAAAATCTAAACCACAGCACCATATGAGCTGCTATGAAGAAAATTAACTCTCTCGTAGCCAGGCCCAGTACACAGGGACAACAAAACCAGTTTACCTGTCCTTGTTAAACATTAAAGGGATGTTCTGATGAAAATTTCCTTTGGAAAGGACTGAGTGTAACTATAATAAAATTTTTGGCCTAAATTAATCTGTGCTGTAAGAACATTAAGATCAGTGAATTTACATGTGACAAAAGTGTCATTTTGTTCTCCACTGCTTCTCTGCACCTTTTTATAGTGTTGTCTCTTTAGTGGCAGGTTTCAGAACATCTGCACTTAAAGGGGCCGCTATTAGCTGCTTTGTAAAATATGATTAATTTGCTCTGCCTGTCTCATTTTCATTTGCCATAGACATCGTATCACAGTTCTTCAATATGTGTGTTTCCAGTGGTTATCTCTGATTTTTGGTTGTGTTCTGTCTGTCATCAGTGGGCAACAGCGATATTTAACTCTTTGAAAGGTTCTTAAAGTCTTCATTTACACTCCAGTTTCATGAGCACTTTAAGCTGAGCCCACCACTTCCCCTGCATCCCTCCTTGCACCTGCTCAGATGTTCACCAGAAATGTGATTACTTGCGGCCTAAATTAGTTCCCTGGTAGGAGTCAGGGCAGTGTGGGTAGGAGAAGAGGGGAGGCAGGGCTTTCTCTTTCATCAGGGGTGTCAGCTTATGTCAGCTGATGGTGTTTCTGGAGCCGCAGGATAAAGGTTTAACGTTACAGCTCATGGTAGGCTGCTGCTGACGGAAGTGGCCTCTCCTGTCCCCAGGCAGCTCCTGTTACTTGTGTCCCATCTACAGTCATGCAGCTGCAGAATAAGCTGATTCAGCTGGTTGACCTGGCAGAAGACTAAAAGTACCAAAGAAAAAAAAAATCCCAAAACTTTTTTTTTTAATCTATTTTTTTTTTATTTTGCTTCAGCCAGCTTATCTTGCTCATCCTTGCGCCACGCAATCACAGGGCCCAGAAAAGGGGAATAAAGATGGACATGTGGGAGTGGGGTGGAGGGAGGGAGCCCGTGGTGTCAGCCGCTCCCCATACCCTAGCTGTAATGTGAGACTGCTCTCTGTCAGATGTCACTGCAGTGGGAGTGAGTGAGACTTCTTACGGGTTAAGGAGTGAATGGGGTTTTTGGGGTTTAACTTTGGGATCGTTTATGTGTTGGTTTTTTGTTTTCTGCAAAACAGTAAGAATGAAACATACTGAACTTGGGGTGTCAGCCCAGAATTGTTTGGTTTGATTTTTTTTTTCTTTTTCTACTTTTCTTTTGAAATGCAAAAGTTATTTAGAACCAGAAGATACTTAACAAGGCATGTTACTCTTCAACAATGAAGTGTCCCATTAATTAAAATTCTGTTTCTTGGTGGGACATGAATCCTAAACCCAGTTTTCCAAACAGCTGATGAGTTCAGACAAATAATCTCTGCTTATTTCAGAAGTATTATTTCCAGGGATTGAAGTATGGGGCATGTTTTTGGTTAGACTTTTAATGAGCTCATCTCAGGCTACTGGCCCATATGTGGCCTTCCAAGATAAATCATCTTACCTGTGACTGACCCCTGCCCTGGTAGCTGTGGGGGGTTTGGGTGCAGACTCACTCAAATGCTGTGGCAGCGCTGTGCTGCTCACCTGTCCTGAAATTGTTCTGGCAAATCGTGGGTACCTGCTAGTTAGGTGATGAGTGAGATGCCATGCGTTACATCATTTCCCTCTACCGGGAAGGAATTGAGAGGTCTGTGAAGCTGGCAGGGATGGTAAAGTGTGACAGGCACATTTCAACTGGCCAGTGCTGGGAGTCCAGGTATCTTACTAGGAGCTATAAACACAATAACACCAGGGAAAACCTGCTCTGTGCAAGAGATTGAAGTGGCCCTTTTGTAGGACTTGAAGAGGCTCCGTAAAATTGCGTGTGCCCTCCCTTTCCAAAGGCAAGCTCTGTGAATGCAGAACTTTGTAACCAGGTTTCTTAATGGCATAATTGTCTTCTGCTGTAGCTGATTTTGGACGTTCAGACCAGAATATGGACGTATTGAATACTGATGATAATATCTAAAGACAGACCTTAGCCATCCAGGTACTGGACTCAAATTTGAAAATTGGCCTATATAACAAAATTCAGCCTTCATTACTGTCTGTGCTACCCCCTCAAATTGGCGTGTTTGTAAGAAACATAGGGTAACTTCTGTTCTCAGATATCAACTCTGTGGCTGTGTAGTAGGTTTCTTGTTATGCTTTTGACCTTTCTGTAATCAGGTGACATCCAGGAACTCTACGATACCAAGTTAGCTCCTGGGCATGCTGCGGCTTTTTCAGATGATTGTGATCTGCCTTCTACACATGAAATGGTTAGAAGCGTAGGGATGCAGGTAAGATGCCATTTTGGAGTTCTAATAACAAATGTATTTACCCACAAATGTAAGATGATTTTATACATTTTCCTCAAAGTGAAAGTAATTTTTTTTTTTTGCCAGCTTTGTAATGATTTTACAGGTAATTAAGAACTACTTTTTATAGTAACTGCAATGCTATGCAGAGTTGATTCCTGTAATAATTTAAATATCTATTGTTTTTTGGATTCTTGGTATTTTGCTATCAGTAGATCATGAGCACGTATGGAACATCTTATAAAGTCAGAATATATGATATTTGTATTACTCAAATTGGGAATGAAACTTAGGAAAACAAGTTTAAGGGCTAATTCCTGAGCTGACTTCCCCAGAATTGTCAGTGAGTCCCTCTAGCATTACAGCTGTACAGGCGTGATGCTACCTCATTTAGAGTAAGCTACAGAAAGACAAACATGTGGTGAGAGAAGAGCCTTATCAAACTCGCGTGGAACAATGCTGTGGAAAAAGTAAGTCAGTAGCTGGAAGTATCCTGCCTTTCAGCCTTGTGTCATGTGGAAATCAAGCCAGGTAACCATCATCTACAAACTCCGCTTTCGGAATGCATATTTAGTCTCCACGTGAGTGGTGGAGAGATGCATTTACATTTATCTTCATAGAGATTCATAGGGGATAAACATACTTTTTTTTTCTTAAAATTTCTTAGAACACGTACATGGGATTCCTGGACTACAGAAGGCAAGCAATTAGAGATCTTGGCATCAGCCCCAGCACCTGCTCCTTTAATCCTGGAGTAATTGTTGCTAACATGACTGAATGGAAACGTCAACGGATTACAAAGCAGTTGGAAAAGTGGATGCAAAGAAATGTCGAGTATGTAGGAATCTAGCTTTGCACTTTTAATACTCAGTTTACAGTTTTATTGTCTGTTTAAAAGCTCTTAAAATGTTTTTAACTCCAAGCAGTCTTTCTTTGAGATCTCAGCAAGTGAAGTCACTCATGTTCCAGAATTTCCATCTGCTTACATCTGACCAATTGTGTACCAGGAAATGGGCATCTGGAATTTTAGTTTCGTGTTTAATCACAAACCACACTTAATCCTGAGGGACACTGAGAACATGTGGTTCTTGTTTTGGGTGACCAGCCTCACTTGGGATCAAGCCACTTAGGATCTTCCCTTCCTGAGTCTGGCTTAAAGAAGGAGGAATGTTTCCTTGTTTGTGTGGGGTCTCCCCTATTGTAACGTCAGACAAACTGTAACTGGACACCATATTTCTTACATACCAATAGAAAACACTTCTTTTGCTATAGATGAATGAAATTTGACACGAAAGAGATCTTTTTGGCATTGACTATGAATAAGTCATGACACGGTAAAACAACTGCTGTTTGTTTTTTATGTTAGTTCACTGTTAACCTGTATTTGCAAACTTGACATCTGTTTTCTTTCTCTGCAAAGGGTTAAATTTAAATTTAGTAAGGCTAAACAAACTGAATAGCTCGTGCTATTGGACTATGTCCATTACTTTTTAGTTTCAGAAATGAACAGAGGGGAGATACACAATAAGCATGTGAAAGAATGAAAAGCCAAATTTCTCTTACTCTGCTTAGGTAACAAATCCTGACAAGCTATTGCTGTGCTTTTTAAGAGTTTGACAAAACCTCCATGAATATCACTGCAAATTTTATCTAGAAAGTTGATTTTATACTTTAATAACCTGTTCGTGTTCATTTTAGCTGGATTTTGAAATTAATTGCTTAGCAGTTGAATTTTGCCAGAATACTTACTTTTTTCTGCCTTTTGTACTGGATTCTTTGAGTGAGGTTTTGAAAAGTTTGTGGGTGTTTTTACCCCCCCCCCCCCCCCCCTTTTGCAGGGAAAACCTCTACAGCAGCACCCTTGCGGGAGGCGTGGCAACCTCACCAATGCTGATTGTATTTCACCGCAAGTATTCCACTATTAATCCTATGTGGCACATAAGGCATCTTGGTAAGTTTAACTTCCCACTGTTCGCAGTTGGAACTAAATAAAGTGAGCAGTTTGTAAGATGCCAGTATAGGGCCTTATGTTACTCTACCTCAATGCATGACTTTATGCCTCACATCCGCAGTCTGTAACCCCTGCTTCCCCCACCACTCATCAGTCCTGTGTTCTGCAGGGCAGGGCAGAATGGGGGGGGTGTCCCCACAGGTGTCATTCCGCAAGTATCTTAATGTGTCAAGCAAACAAAATAGTTGCACCCCTGCAAAAAAACCCCAAACCCTAATAGTCATTAAATTCGATTAAAAAAGGAAGAAAACAAATACCAAGGACAAAGTTACATGTTTGAAGACCAGCTAACCTATATTGTCATAAACTATGGACAGAATATATGAAAGATCTGAATGTAGTGAGAGACTGAAAAAAATCAGACATTCTTTTAGTAGGCATAGTGGAAGAAGATGGGACGCCTGGCAGCGTTTGTCTGTTCAACATTCCAAAGATGTAATTAACTTTCACCTGGGAATGCTGAATTATCCTGGGAAAAAGCTAATGGCTTAGCTGGTATAGTAAAATGAATAGTAAAAAGGGTGGGGTTTTTATTGTTTATTAACCTCGGCTGTGCCAAGATGTTAAAAGTGTTAAGAGAGAGGAAACTTGCTGAGATTTTTTGCTGATGCAGCATTAGAGGCATGAAGCTGAAAAAAAGCTCCTCTATTGTACAACTAGCTGTCTATTAGCAGGCGAAACCATACTAATCAGACTTCTTAGGGAAAAAAAAAAAAACAACCCTCACTTTATTGTGTCTTCCATTCTTAAAAACTGGACTTTAATTTTTTTTTTTTTTTTTTTTAACCTACCCATGCAGGTTGGAGTCCTGATACCCGCTACTCAGAGCATTTTCTTCAAGAAGCTAAATTACTTCATTGGAATGGAAGATACAAACCTTGGGCCTATCCCAGTGTTCACACTGATCTCTGGGAAACCTGGTTTATTCCTGACCCATCAGGGAAGTTCAAATTAACTCGTCCCGATAGCTGATACTGAAACCACTTAAATGCATCCATACACTATGTTTTGTAGTATGTAATACTTTGAGATGCAACATATTGTATAATTAACTGATTTTAGAAAACTAAGTATTTGTTAAATATATGAATAAACAACCATCAGGTTTGTGTGCTTATGGCTGGAGTGACAGTGACACAGTTCAGGTTATCTTGACTTTCATGTAAGGTGAGGAAGCAAGTTTACTTGACAATTACATGTTTTCATTAAACGTTTACAGAGGTGAAATTCTGTGCGAGACAGTGTGTTTTAATGTAAGGTCTTTATAAAGACAACTCCACTGTCTGCTGGTAGAAAAATCTACGCAGGAACTACTTGCAGCATTACATACGAGGCGTTGTTAGTTGTCTAGCCCACATTAAACAGCCCAGAATGAAAACTTACAGAGCATTTTAACGAGTAGTGTTCTGTTGCATGGCGACTCTGCAGTGTTTCTGCGTATGAAGTATCTTGTAGCGCATTTAGACCCCCGCTACCAAACGCACATTCCAAGACGCTGCAATACAATTCCTGATTTTATTGTGAAACATTGATAGATTTAAGACAGATTAAGAACTTTTCTTTTACTGTAATGAAAAGAGCACCAGTTCTGAGGGAGTGCACCTAGAATTGCAACATTTAGTGCAACGGTCGTTGTACGCTTAACTGTATTTTATACCTAGGTAACCTAGCAGGTGACTCCGTTAAAGAGATCTTTCCCTTCCAATCAAACAGGATAGAGCACCTTACAGTAGTTTTATCCTACTGTGCTACATACTCAGCAGTGCTAATTACATGCTTCTAATTTTGTTGAAAAATAAAATTGAATTGTAACAAATCCCTGATGCAAGATACTTTGAGCACCTGCAGGAAAACATCCATGTAAACAGCGATACATGATACAGTACAATTTAAATAACAGACAAGACAAGTCCTATACCTTTTTGACAATATACCAAACAGCTTTATGCTGAAGCTAATAAACACAATCAGAATCATAATGCACACTTTCTTGATTTAAGACGCTCAGAATTAAGCCACATAATTTGGGAAGAAACTGTAAACATCATGCCTGCCTCACAACAAGCTGACAGTGTGTGATCTCAGTGAGAGCTGTTACAGCAGGATTAGAATCTACACTAACTACAGTTACACTCAACGCATGGCACCCGTCACTGGCTGTGAGGAAAGGATAAAACACACCAGTACAGGAATCTCTGACTAGCATGGATTGTGGAGATACTGTTTGTATCTATTTGTCAAGTATGTGAAGCACCTACTGTCATAAGATCATCAAAACTTTAATGTTTTGATCAGCTTATTGCTTTTACTTCATCTCTTCCTCACATGGTCAAAGAGGGAAAGAAGAAGAGGGTTAGGCACAAGGATGGAATCTCATTTCTTTCTCAGTCACTAATATTGGCCAAAAATGTGTATCGTTCAAGCACATTTCTCAGAAGAGAGCTGTAGTTTCTACAGCTGACTTCTTATTCATGAAACAGCTGCCCTTATATTTCACTTAGTATTTTTCACTTCTAAGAGGAATAAAGAGAACACTCTCCAAAGTCTTACAGATCAAAGAGAACTGAATGTTAAAAACTGCTAAATCGCAAACCTCTTTCACCCTGTGCTAATTGTACCCGATATAAATAACGTAGCTGTACATGATTTCTACGGGGAATGTGGTCTTTCCATTCCCTGCAAGGTAACCTGTTCAAAGGGGTTGGCTCCTGCTAAAGGTCAGGTGGAGAGACAAATCACACAGATATGACTGAGAGTTTAAATGCCACAGAATTCAAGAACCACCATTGTTGGGTTTTTTTGTTTGTTTGTTTTTAGAAGGAATTCCAGTTCCTTACCTTGGAATTTAAGGGGGAAAGAGATAGAATGGTAGGGACACCTTACCATAAGACAGCTCAGCTGGAATATTTAGGCCCTGTCCTGTGCGACACAAGTTTTCCACCCCAGTGTTGTGACTTGAGATGATGTCTCCACTCCCTTAATCCTGAATATGGTCCAACCACTAAATGGACAGAGCTCTCTCTTCCCATCCAGAAAATACTCAGTACTCACAGCTGCAGAACACAACTTTCTGCACGTTTTACGAAGGTAAAAGGCAGACTTAAAAAGCACAATTTGCTTAACTGTGCATGATTAAAAACACCACTTCATGTAAAATAAGGGTACACTTCCCATTTTCCCCTCTGGATATAAAAGGATTATGACATATCCAAATATTGAGGCATCAGTAAAAAGTGTACTGCTGCTGTTACTACTACATTACGATGTATGGAATAAAATTAACGCCCCAAAGGAATCATCACAAATGAGAAAGCAATTTGTCAAAAACTGCAAGAAATGGTATACATTAAATATAAAACTCATATACAAAAAAGGGCTAACTTTTTTTAAAAAAGTTTGGACAGTTCCTTAAAATTATCTAGTTCATTGATTTGAGCCTACCACACACTTACGTTGGGACTATCATAAAATAACTAGGGGAGATAAAATACTACTAAAATGCTTCAGTTGGAGAACCGAGGTACCAATCTTGATCACTGCATTAAAACTGCAGCATGTATGCATAGCCGAGAAGAAATGGCTCTTAGGCGCTGCTTCCCTCCTCTTCCCGTGTCATACCAGCACTGAACTCTGGAATCTGGTCTGCAAAGGACTGTGTCATCCATTGTCCATTAGGAACTTCACCGAAGGATGACCCCTCGCAGTACTGTGGATTGCTTGCTGCCAAAACAAACAACAAAATAATAACATACGTTTGTTAAAATGCAGTTGATGCCACCAAGTATTTGTTCACAAGTAACGCTTTACAGACTGAATGCCCCAAGTGCTGCACTTTACCAGTTCCATTTGAAGAGAAATTGCACTGTTCACTTTCATACGGTGCACGATCACAGTAAGCTCCTCCATACGCTGCTTCGTAACCTGGATCATATTTTTCTTCTTTGACAGCCATCTTTTTAGCATCCTCTGCCGAAAGAGAAGACCTCAAGTATTAATATTCAGAATAAAAATGATCAAAGAGCGTTTTTATCAGAGAACACTTGAAGAAACAGCCACACATGCTACACGATAATCCCTGCTCCCCTTAGATAGTTAAGACCGTAATAAAAAGAGTAGAATCCTTAAATCTGCACCACACAGTTTACAGAAGATGGCACACCTCCCCCCCCCCAAATTCTTGATTTCTTTTTGCTTGGGAAATTGCTAGTTGTGTTGTACACCACATGTTAACAAAGGATTAACAAAATAACCACTATACCTTGTGCAAGTTGCAAGTCAAATGTGTACTGCACCTCCTGCACCTCTGTGTTTGGTGCGATGCCTTTCAGTTGATCCCGTAAGTCTTTCAGTTTTATGTAATAATGAACTTTATCTTGTGCACGAGGAAACTGAGCACATCTTGCACTGGATGATGGCATAACGTAGCAGAGCTTGAGACAAAAAGCAAGAAAGACAGCATTACTGGTCCCTGAGCTATGAGTTAGTATTTAGTGCATTGAGATTAACTCAGCAGTTAAGCTCACTGTTTAAACCTTTATACAAACTTCAACTAATGCCACAGGTGGTTGTGGAAGAGGACAGGAGTCTCTAATTTTTCTTGGCCAGCTAGATGTCTTGCCCTGAAGACAGGGGCCAATTATTAGCTGCTGAAGTGAGGACAATTTTCACCAGTTGTTTATGTGCTGCAGGAGAAGTAGTACCAGTGTGTGTTAGAAGAAGTACAATTTACAGGTGTGTGCCGGAGAGTGGAGCACACTCCACAACTCCCTGAGCAAGCAGAGCTCTGAGCCACAAAGTGCAGAGAGGAGTACGTGACAGCATGCAAACACCCCAAACCAGCGAGGGTGCATCACACGTTAACTAGCCTGGCTTCTTGGCCAACTGTGTCTGCATCACAGGTGCCAGGGTTTGAAACTGGAGTTAGTGTGGTTGAAGCCAACTTCAGCAACTCTATCTCTGCCAACAGCCCTAACTAAAGACATAAAGTTAGTTCAGGAAAAAGAAACTGTATCCAATACAGTCTTTATAAACAAGTACTAGTAAAGAGGACTATTTATCTTTCTTACAAATACACCTACTGTGGAAGTCTTTAAGAGCTATGTAAGAAGCAAGCACTTTATCACCAATGGTTCTTCAGGCTCTGATGGCAACACTTCACCTTTAGAGAAGGACAGCTTAAACTGACCTTAAACTTGCAGCACTAGTAATTTGGGATAGAAATAAAAACAACCCAAACTTGTGAACTGACAAGGTAATGAAGCTTTGGAATAAGCTACCTCAGCAGGTAATGCAATTGCCTTTGCCTTAACCTGTTGATAAGGACAGGTTAAACAAACCTATTTGCTTAGGTTTGATACATCGCTGGTCTCTTGAGATATTTTCCAGGACCAGATGTCTATGACTAACGCACTCTGCCTCAAACTGTTTGTTTCATCTTAAGTGTCCAATTTAATCTCAAGCTGCACAGCTTAAGAAGACTGAGGCTGATGGAAGTGCTTGGGCATGCCCAGATCCAGTAAAGCTGTAGCTGTAGTGTGTAACAGCACAACGATGGACTTACTATTTCCCCTCCCGCCCCCACTGTGGCACTACTAGCACTGGTATCAAAATTCAGTAATACAAACAGACAGGGAATCGGACACAGAGAATCTGATGAAAGTAGATGACAGTTATCCTAAAAGCACGTATGTTTTATTCATATTTTAGAAAGTCCTCAGAGAATGCACTAACCTGCTAACCATAATACACCATTTCACAAATCAAGTCTGCAAGTCTTAAGAAGCTGCATTAAAGATCTGCCTGAAAAATTGCACTATTCCCTTTCCTCTATTTAAGTAAAAGCCTTTCACAGCTCTTACACTTCAGGTGAATTTTGATGTTATCACAAGTGTGTGCAAGTCTTGAGACTTTGTTAGTTTTGAAATAACCAAAATGGAGTGTCCTGTTTTTGTTTCTCAGTAACAACACTTACAGTTTCTGTATCTGGCACCTTGTGTGGCTGCAGTCCAAATTCCAAGTTCTTAACTTTTATTCCAAAAACTTCTTTACTAAAAATTTCATAAATACCTAAAATGAAAAGAAGATAGGATAAGTGGACCGAAAAAACCCCCTACTGACAGAACAAGTTCACTTAAAAGTCAAGGTTCTCACATTTTCCATTGAAAGCTGCTATACGAGGTTTATACTTTTGTAACTTCTGCATCAGAATTCTCCCTCCTTCCCGAAACTCTTTGCTAAAAGAGAAAGTACTCGAAATTACAATCACAACTATTAATTCATTAATAAGCATGATACCCCCCCTTGTTATCCTACCTGGAGAGGTCTTTGCTTCCAGGTGTTGTCCTTTCAACCATATTTGTAAATCCAATCCCATATTTATGTGGCAAGGTGTGGTCATCCATATGGTTCAGCTGTTCATTACTTAGACCAGACATGAACAGACACTTCCCTGCGAAGCAGGAAGATATGCATTTGTCTTTTTCTAAGGAAAAGAAAACAAACCCAAAAAACTCCCTCGACTATCAGAGTACTGGAATGCTAAAGGAAGAATCTATGTTAACAGAGCATCAGTTAATTTGGGAAGACTATTGCCCTATCCAGAAAAGTTTAAAATAGCCAAAATTACTTTATCTACTGCAAGAGGATTCAAAATCCCTAGTGAAAAACAAGAATACCTCACCATGATCCTCTGTACGGAAAGCAGTCTTATTCTGAAAGTTCAGTACAGAGCTTTAGGTTTTGCGATTCATTTAAGCAGGGAGTGACTGTGATCAATACAGATTTTGTGGGAAACAATGCAGCAAATACAATGTGTCAGCTTGCTTTTACAACCTTGCCATCGCTTCTCCCTGCACCGGGCCTCTCTGACAGAACCCGTTGACATGTTACATTCATATTTAGTGTACAGAAGTATAGTTTGGGTGACGTGCACTTGCAATCTCTTAAGCACAAGTTAACCACAGCTAGCTCCTAATGATTTGGGAAGGTTACAAACACGTGGATTTGTCAGAGCATGCATATCTGGTCTGCCTCTCAGTACAGGAGGCTGTTAGTCTGGCCGGTCTGCAGAACACTAGAGGACTACCCAAGCCTGACTCAGAAGTCTGCTGGATACCAGAAGTATTTTGGCAGGAGTATCACAGGGCTGCAAATTAGCCCACGTGGAGCTCCCTGCTAGCACAGCCGCAATGGCGCCGAGTACACAAAACAGAGTATTTCAACAGAGTTCAGGTATGGTCTTAATTTAGGAGAACATGATGCAGAAAACGTTACTTAAAATGGAAAAACACCTAGAAAAAAATATCTGTCTGAAGAATCAGCTATGTTAGATGCATATGCCTGCTGGGAAATGGCAATGGTTTTTGCTTTTTTTATCAGTTAGAAAGCTTGTTTAGAAGAGATGAATAAACGCAAACAGAAGAGGGCTTGATGAAATGCATTTTGGGGAAAATGTGTGTAGTTTTATTTTATATCAGAAATTGATGCCTATTGACTTACCCTTGATAACTCAAGTACTAGAGATTTAATTTTTATTCCTTATGTTGCACACTAATACGCCAAGAAGTTATTTGGCAATACTGTGTTTACATGACAATTCTAAACCTGCATTGAAAGTCACCGATTATTCCTCTTTTATTACTTTTTATGTACAGTATTTGACAGAAGTAGTTATGGGATTTAAATCACTCTTGGATGGTTAAAAGCAAAATCGCTCTCTGCATCCAAAAAAAAAACCAAACAAAAAGCAAAAAACAAAACCCCAAACAGTTTATAATTAAAATGCCACAAGTTCTAACAAAGTTCTGCAAATTCTGTAAGAAGAAAGAAAAACAAAAACGTACAAAAATGGTTTCCAGGTCCAGGGTAATGATGTCCTTTGTAAGCTGCCATCAAGCCAGGGTTTATGCCAATCTGCAAAGATACCAGTCCATTTTAACAATGAGAACATGGCTTGCTAGTCAGGAATTTAATCAAGTTACAGTAAGGATGCTTATTCAATTCTCTTTAAGTTACTGACAATAAATAAAATTGTGTTAATGGTACCTTCGTTACTTAAAAAAATCGACAATTTTATAGCAGTGTCTCATTTAGATGGTGCAATGTCAAAAGAGCAGCTCACAGTGTGTTTTACAGACACTGGTGTAGCGCTTCCAGTAAATAAAGTGTCAAGTAACGGTCTCTCATGACTATGTATTATACATAAGCCTGAGTTTTCTCAGAAATTAGAACTATGTTATCTGTATGATTTTTAACAGAAAATGCAAAGCAGCTCTACACACAGGAAACAGTTTATATACTTTATCTTGCAAGATCTTGCCATATAAGCAATATAGGTAAGTAAGCAGAAGGAATGTAAATCATAACGAGTGAGTACAGACTACTCACTTTTCTACCTCATCTTGTAACTGTGAGTTACTTACTATTACAATGTCCAGATCAAAGGTCAAAATATCAGGTAAAGTCTTGGTCAGAAGTTCAGCTTCAGAAACACCATTAAAACGGTCCACTTTTCTTTTGACTTTAAAAGTATCTGTGATTTTTTCTTGTTTGCCTTTTGACTTGGCTGATTTTTCTTTTTTAGCAGCAGGCTTTTTGGGTTGCTTTGGCTCAGTTGCTTTGGCTTTTCTTTTCCTTCCGCCTTTTTTAACTTCTGAAACACACAGCAAATATCTCTTTTCCTACATTTCTAATGTTGCAGTGTGGATATTCAAAAAGACAGAGCTAAATGTATGGATGCAAAAAGAAATGAGATAAATTTACCTTCAAAATTCATTAACTTAAACAATTATCAGATGAATCTCGGTTTTGCAGACTAAACGCAGAGCTAACTTAGGTATCTCTGTACCACAGACACACACACTACTCACAGGCAACTACATTGACTTAGGATACAAACCAAGAATAACCTCATGACTAGGTTATGCTGTTTACATGCTGTATGCAACAATCCTCTGGAAACAAGTTTCATTTCTTTTGGAGGATATGCCAAGACATCAAAACTTAGGTTCCAAGGAATCGGACAGTAAATTCTAGATTAAAATCTCTCTCAGATAAGAAATAAATACAGTGGGTACCAGGGCACTGCCCTAAGTATGCAAACTTTTTTGGGCTGTTCTTGTAAGAAAGCTGAGTGCAAACAAAAAGGAGGACAAAAGTCATGTGAAATTCCCACCACATCACTGGAACAACTGCTTAGGAAAACTGTAAGTCACGTTACTCAAGTGATAATCTAGTTACAATGAAGGAGAGACTAGAAAGGCACAGACTTGGCCAGGCACACAAGCAGCTTTTCTTTCCCACCCCTTGAAGAGTTAGGAGGTTTTTCATGTGACAGCAAAATACCACAGATGTATCCAACTCAGAGCAGTCAGAGTTATTTCAAACAAAGCAGGATAATGTTGTCTTAATTTTCATGCTGATCAGGTACCTACCAACCAGATACTATCATGAAAGATGAAAGGCTGCCCTGGCATTGTTCAGAAGATAATCCTAGAAATTTTATTTTTTTCATCACAGCAGGTAGCTGGACTCCAAATCTTTGCCTTTCATATATGCTCCTGTAAATGTCACACACATTTGGTAAATCTTGCAAAAATATGAGGGAACAGCTTCACAACAGAAGATTACAGTCGTCCAAAAATACTTGAAAGTGCAGTCAAACAGCGTGCTCATGGTGACATCATGTTATCCAATAAGAAAGCTGCCAAAGAAGCCTAACTACATAACACTTGAGATGCATCCTAACTGTAGTCATTAATACTGTGAATGAATTGAGCAGTCGCAACTATTTTAAACTGGAGGTTTTCTTGCTATGGTTTCATCTGGCCATGCATCATAACTAAAGAAAAAGAAAAGAAAAAAAAAGCAGCTTATCAAAGGATGCACTTAAAAAAGCAATGTCATTGCATGAATTGGCTGATAGGTCACCTTGGTACAGAGAGCTCTGACCTATATCTAAATACCAAAGGCAAAGCAAAATTCAGTGTGTGAATATTTGCTATAGAATCAGAATTCAAGCATGGCAGAGATCACTGCTTTTTTTTATGTGGTAAAGAGCAGGCAGAGTAACAGCACAAGGGATCTTTTCTTGGCACGGTTATTGTAAAGTGTAGAGCATACAAAATCCTAGTGTGGAAAAAGAAAGGCAACGTACAAGTGCATAAAGTACAAAACTTGTGTTGGTTACAGTACACTTTCCAGCATTGTTTGTATTTATTTAAATAAGCCTCACTAAAACCAAACAATCCCTAGTGTATATAAGCAATTTGCTATTTGTGATTACTACAACACACTAAACCACAATTTAAACAAAAATATTTTGAATAAACCGTATTATACTGTACTTCTCTTGCAGAAATTAAAAAAAAAAATTTAGAACTCAGACTTTAAAACTTCTCTAACATAATATTAAAACCCATGAAATCAGCTAAAAATACATTTATCTATTGAAATAAAAATCTGCTTTTCCTGGAACAAGATAATTTTGTGAGACTGCACAATGTGAATACTAACACCTGGGTTTACTTCTTAATTGTCTGGCAAAAAAGGTCACTTAAAGAATACAAATAATCTATACTTCCTCCAAGAGCATCAAGAAAACGAAATCCAACAGCTTCAAAGAAGCAGTTTAAGACCAATAATTTTTTTCCCCAATCGATTACTAATGTTTTAGCTCACTTAGCACAGCCCAGTCAAATTACCTTTCGGAGGCTCCTGAGCAATGTTTGGCTCTGGAATGCCCTCTAGAGTTGGCTGCTCAGTCATGATTTCCATGTTAGGAGCTGCAGTCATCATCTGATGGAACGGAAATGTGTAAAATGCTTGAGCTTGCTGAAGATACGCGTAGTATCTTAGAAAGGGAGAAAAAAGGAGACATAATTTATCAACAATGTAGAAATTTAGTGATGTACCAAATAGACTGTAAACATCAATCTTTATCAAGACTGGCACGTACTGCACTTAGATTCTCCGATGACTCTATTAACAAGGCAGTAAATTATACAAATCCACTAAGCAGTGGGACTGATTAGCTGTATTGGGTGATGTTAAACCCAATGTTAACAGTACAGTCCTCTTGTGATTATTATACTGTGGAAGAAACACAACATGTGTAAGTGAAGCATAGAGCTTTTCCCTTTTTTTCTGAAAAAACACTCTGTAACACACATTACCAAAGCAAACTGTCTATCAAACATACCAACAATTTACAACACAAGTGAGTTAAAAGTCTTTGGACTTCAAGTTTCTCAAGTTTTAGATTTTCTTAATGTTACATCAGTTACTTTATCTGATATGACACAGAATAGATGAATCATTCTGGGCCACAAAGCATTATGAATACACACAGCATCAGTTACTATGCAGATTATTAAACAGCTTTAACAAATTGCATGGCAGATGTCCAGTTATCGCACACTGGATCTCAACACAAATATTGCACTTATTCTACATGGAAGTGTTCACACACACAGATCCAGTCTCCTTCCATGTACAAAGACATGTTTCCATATACAGCTCTTTTGCTCCACTCATTTATTAGTCACATACAGTCCTCACACCCCAACACAAAATTCTGCTTCATACTGTCATTCCCTTCTACCCACACAGCCACCTTCTTGTCCACAGATTCTACTGCCATACAAATACACAGAAAAGATTTTGTGAACAGTAAATTTTCAGGAAATAATTTTATAATCTCAAAGCTATTCATAAAAACACCAAATAATTTTTAGATATATAGGTATTTAGCCAAGAAAGCCAATGGCATCCTGGCTTGTGTCAGAAATAGTGTAGCCAGCAGGACCAGGGCAGTGATCGTCCCCCTGTACTCAGCACTGGTGAGGCTGCATGAGTGCTGTGTCCAGTTTTGGGCTCTTCACTACAAGAAAGCCATGGAGGTGTTGGAGCGAGTCCAGAGAAGGGCAACGAAGCTGGTGAAGGGCCTGGAGAACAAGTCTGATGGGGAGCAGCTGCAGGAACTGGAGTTGTTTAGCCTGGAGAAAAGGAGGCTGAGGGGAGACCTTATCACTCTCTACAACGACCTGAAAGGAGGGGGTAGGGAGGTGGGAGTTGGCCTCTTCTCCCAAGTAACGAGCAATAGGACAAAAGAAAATGGCCTCAAGTTGTGCCAGGGGAGGTTTAGATTGGATATTAGGGAAAATTTCTTCACCGAAAGGGTTGTCAAGCATTGGAACAGGCTGCCCAGGGAAGTGGCAGAGTCACCACGCCTAGAAGTATTTAAATGACATGTAGATGTGGTGCTTAGCATCCCTAAGGGCTTAGTGGTGGGCTTGGCAGTATTAGGTTAACAGTCGGACTCTATGATCTCAAAGCTCTTTTCCAACCTAAACAATTCTCTGATTCTAAATATCTCAAAAGAAGGCACCATTCTCTATTATGCAATGGGTATTTAAGAATATTTAGGAGTCCCACCGTAAATCAGATTTATGCCAGAATAGCCTTCAGTCTTGTGATCAGGCCACTGATTTTGAACCAAATAGCTGCCCTGAATCAAGGAGAATAAATTTGAGTGTAGGTCTGTCAGATTCCCAGGCAAGTTGCCTAACAAAGTCACAAGAGACTTTCAGAGTACAGTAAACACCTCAATCCCCCTGCTGGAAGAGTTCCATTTTATAAAAAAATACTTGTGCAGTTACTGAACCAAACAAAACTGATCTTCAGATTTTTATTGGGAAACACAACTGAGACATGTAGAGTCCAGTTCATAGTGTAATAAATGCCTAATTATACAGAGCAAAAGAAGAGAGTAAGAGAGATGTGAAAGCATCTAACCGAAGACTAGATGTCTTCTTGTAATACATGCCTTCTTATTTTACGTATATATAAATTCTCCTTCTTGTAAAGGGAATAAAATCCCCTTTAAACAGAGGAAAGTTTGCACCGTATCACAGACAAATCCTCTAACCACATAGCTTTTACCCCTACCTCTAAGCTTGATACACATTTTTTAGGTCATTTTTCTTGTATAGGTTCAGAAACACAATTATTTGTTACTGATGTATACATCACAGAACATTAACATATATATTTTCAGTTCCACGAGGAAAAGGTAGTGATTTAACCCCTCCCCCTTCAGTTCATGGTAAAAATGAAAGAAAAACAAACGTGAGAAGAGAAAAAGACACGTCCACTGGAACAAAATCAAATAATTTTCAAATCCGCCTCTCCACACACAGGCCCCCACCATATGCATGCACACGCATGTGTTTCTTAATACACAGCGAGCCCCGTCCCCACTGCAGCCCCAACAAACCCCGACGCCCCTTCAC